AAAAAAAAAAGTAAAAACAAAAGAAAAGTAGAGTTACAAATAAGGATATAAACAGAGAAAATAATTATGTACAGCTGAATAATGTGTTTATTTTAAGCTATGTGTTATTACAAGAGTTGAAGGAAATAGTTTATAAAGTTACAGTAAGCTAAGGCTGATTTATGCTGAAGAAAAATATATTTTTATAAATTTAGTGTAGCCTAAGTGTACAGACTTTATAAAGTCTCCAGTAGTGTAATGTCTGAGGCCTTCACATTCAGTCACTGACTCAACCAAAGCAACTTCCAGCCCAGTAAGCTCCATTTATGGTAAGTGCTCTCCTCTATGGGTGCACCACTTTTAACCTTGTGTACTATATATACATATACATTTGAGATGGAGTTTCACTCTTGTTGCCCAGGTACGATCTTGGCTCACTGTAACCTGTCTCCCGGTTCCAGCAACTCTCCTGCCTCAGCCTCCCCAAGTAGCAGGGATTACAGGCATACGCCACCATGCCCAACTAATTTTCGTATTTTTAGTAGAGACAGGGTTTCACAATGCCGGCCAAGCTGGTGTCGAACTCCTGACCTCAGGTGATCTGCCTGCCTCGGGCTCCCAAAGTACTGGGATTACAGGCATGCGCTACCATGCCCAGCCCCGTACTATATTTTTACTGTCCTTTTTCCGCTTAGACATGTTTAAATACACATCCTCTCGACACTGTGCTCCAACTGCCTATAACATTCCCCACAGTACTGTGCCGTCCAGGTTTGGAGCCTAGAGCAATAGGCTACACCATCTACAGCCTAGGTGCGTAGTAGCCTATGCCATCTAGGTTTGTGTAAGAGCAGTCTGACGTTCACACAATGATGAAATTGCCTAACGACTCATTTCTCAGAAAGTATATCCGTAGGTCAGCGAGAAAAAAAAGTGTGTAAGTCCAAATATATGGATCGCAAGGCTGGGTAACTGCCTGCAGGCTACTGCACGCTCAGGCTTCCCTTCCGGTTCACCACGTGGCTACGGCAGGGCTTAAACATCCCACAGAAGCGCTCACGCAGAGGACCCGACAGTTCCATAAGCGACCACTCGACTCTCCCCGCCAGCTTGTGGCCTCTAGAACTTTCTTGCAACTCGGAGCTATCTGCTCCCGGGTCCCTCGGCTCCTTTTCTTCTCGGCCCGTTTCCACCACCCTTGCTCCCATCGTCGCATGGAGCTATACTGGCGGAGTCCGGGCTGGCAGCAGCACAGACGCTGCCACGTCCCCCGCCAACACGGGGTGGGCAGCACGACAGATGTCTTACGACGACGACCGGGACCCCAGGGAGGCTTGTCGTCGGTGAGAGGCCCGAGCCCCGCCATGCTAAGTCACCGCGAGGGACTCCCACTCCCGCCGTCGCCATGGAGCCAGGGCCGAGCGACAAGGCCGGTCGGCTAAGAGGCCAACACGCCGGCGGCAATCAGAGGGAGGTGTGCGCGGGTTCCGATACCATCCCCCATCCCCCATCCCCGGCTCCCCGAGTCGCCCGGAGTTAGCACGGCCTGGACGCCTGCAGCCCTTACCTTCCGCATCCGCCATGTTACCCTGCACCGCGTGCGTACCGCCTGGTCCACCGCCCAGAGAACTACCGCAGACTCCCGCCGCCACAGTCTAGTCAGGCCGCGCTGCTAGGCCTGCCCATTCGCGCACAGCCCTGTGCGTGCCTCGCCGCGGGGAGGGAGGGGGCGGGGGCTTCCCGGGGGCGGACCCGAGGCGCGCGCGCGGGCGCGCGCGGGCGCGCGGATCTTCCGCGCAATGCGATTGGCTGGCTCGGCCAGGGTCGCGCGACTGCGCCTGCGCTTCGAGCCTCTACCAGCCCGGTGGGCCTGGGCTGGAAGCGCTAGTGCCGCCCTCCTCGGCAGCCCGGAGTCTGTGGGCGTGTCCCCAGCTGTCGCTGGTTCACCTCCGGGTTTAGCTCCGCGCCTGCGCCTGGGCTCACGGCTGAGCGCTGCGTAGTCAGTAGATCATTGCTTTCTGACACCGACTCTCTCAAGTTTGTGTTGGATCAGTCCTGATTAAAAAGTGAACATGTTGAGGCTTGGAGAGGTTGAAAGCCTTTTGCTGCTTGCAGGTCCCATCCAGCTAGAGCAGATGGCCAGTAGGAGCAGAGTATGAGCCACATGTTGACTTTTTCTAGCAGCAACGTGGAAGAAGAGTAAAAAGAAAAAGGTGAAATTGATTTTTTAATAATGAATTTTTTTAACCCAGCGTATCCGAAATATTATCATTTCCCCATATAGGCAAAACGCAACTGCATGAATGGGACATTTTGCTTTTTTTTTGGTCCCCGCAAGCTCTTTCCGGTGTGTGTGTGTTTACTGTCACAGCACACCTCAATTGGAACTCTATGACCAGGCTTCACGCCAAACAGCAGAGACAAAGCACTGGCACTAAATCTCATAGAAACAGGATGAGCCTGGGTATCATGATAGGCAGCAGGGCTGGAAGCTGGAACCAAACTGATTTCTCCCCAGGGATCTTTGGTGCTGTCTAACTGATTGCGGTGTCCTATAGTAAGCCATCATGATCTGTATAACCCCCGTAACGCTAGGTCTGGCTAAAGGCATCCTGCCTTGAATCACCACAATGGAAAATCATGGTGCCTCATCTAATTCCCAGATCTAGTCAGTCCACAGGCCAGAGACTGTGAGGTAAGCCTGTAAAAGTGAGGCCAGGCACACGTGTGTAGTTTAAGCCTGCCTCCTACTTTCCCCTGGGACACATGTCCATTTACCAGAGGCTTGCACAAGCTCGTATTAATCCCTGGGGAAATAGAATGCCACTGTGGTCCACTGGTCAGAAGTGGAGTCAGCCCATGTCCCTTTCACTCTCAGCCACCTTGTGGCTCTCTCCCCACTTCTTGAATCCATGCTTAGAATAAACACAGTTGGTGGCTGGAAAAATTCCCACAGGGGCTTCCTGACTCAAGGACTGAGGGTGATAAATGGAAGGAAAGATCAAAGGAAACCTCTGCACATTATCATAATTGAGTCCCTGGGAACTGATTTGATCATCTCACTGTACCCCAAGACATCATGCTGATGCATAGGAAGTGGCAAATGTCTCACCACAAGGTGAGAGATAAGCCCCTTGAAAATTCAGGGAGGTGACACCTCAGTGAACTTTCTGGGCATCCAGTGGGCTGAGACATGTTGAGATGGTCCCTCCAAAGAGAAAGACAAGTTGCCTTACCTGGAACCTTCTGCTTGCTAAAAAAGAAGCACAATACTCAGTGGGCCATTTTCTGGAGATGGCATATCCCATTAGTATGCTACACAGAGCCTTTTCCAAGCCTTAGTAAGAGACTCACAGTTCAGGCCTCTGGAATTTGAAATAAACTTAAAGCTAAGCCCTCCACACACACAAAAATAATAATTTGCCAGGAGGAAAAGCTCCTGGCTTGCTGGAGTTATTTACTGAAACAGAATGACTGTGATACATGTGGTCTTAAGACCTGAGCTGCCCATCATAAACTGGGTGTTGTCTGACCAAACCATAATGTTGGTCATCTGAAACAGCACTTCATCATCAAGTACAATGATGCAGCCACTTTAGAAAGTGGTCTGGCATGGGCTGGGCGCGGTAGCTCACACCTGTAATCCCGGCACTTTGGGAGGCTGAGGCGGGTGGATCACAAGATCAGGAGTTCAAGACTAGCCTGGCCAAGATGGTGAAACCCTGTCTCTACTAAAAACACAAAAATTAGCCGGGTATGGTGGTGGGCGCCTGTAATCCCAGCTACTTGGGAGGCTGAGGGAAAGAAGTGCTTGAACCCAGGAGGCAGAGTTTGCAGTTAACCGAGATTGCACCACTGCACTCCAGCCTAGGCGACCAAGTGAGATTCTGTCTCAAACAATAACAAAAAAAAAAAAAGAAAAGAAAACGATCAGGCAATTCCTTGAAAGGTCAAACATAGAGTTATCATATGACTCACCAATTCTACTCCTAGTTATAGACCCAAGATAATTGAAAATGGATTTTTAGACAGATGATTGTACACATATATTCATAGCAGAACTATTCACATAGCCAAAAGGCAGAAACAACCAAAATGAACAGATGAAGAGATAAACAAAATGTGGTCTATCCATACAATGGACTATTATTCAGCCATAAAAGGGGATGACATACTGATGGATACAACACTGAAAAGCATTAGGCTTAGTGAAAAAAGCCACACACCAAAGGCCACATTTTGTGTGAATCAATTTATAGGAAATATCCAGACTATGCAAATCTAGAGACCCAAAGCAGATTAGTGGTAGCCTCGGCCTAGGAATTTAGGGAACATGGGGAATGGCTGCTAATGGGCACGGAGTTTCTTTTCGAGGTGATAAAAGGCTCTAAAATTACATTTTGGTGAAGGTTGCACAAGATTTCAAGAATTGTGGGATAGGAAGGCCACTCATCACAGTTTTGGATCATTTAAATGACAGCCAAATTCCTCGAATTTTTGGTTTGGGTCATAGACAGAAATCCAGGGAATTTCTATAACAATGCTTAAGGAATTATTTATCTCTTACAGGCACAAGAATAAAACAACTAAAAACCAAACTTTAAAATTTTGACCCATCACCTTTCCAAATTACAAATCTCAGTGAATTCACAACCTTCTCAGGTCTCTTAGCAAAGGTTGGAGCCATGATCAGAAAAGTATAGAACACTGGGATTTGAAGTGGGAATAAATTGGAGAATTGAGAGTCCCCGGAATCCCCAGCTCCTACTAAGCCTCCGTTGTTAAACAACCCTCACCTTTATCTGATTGCAGGTTCCTTACTCTCTCCTGAGGGAATTAGCAGGGAAGCAAAAGCATACCCTTCCTACTCTCCCACCCTAATGTCTCTAGGCCTGTAACTAACATTAACCTCTACATTACCTCAACTGAACAATTTAAGTCATGCAGCAAGAGAAAGCTTGCATATGAAAACAGTAACAGGTAATATTTATGTAAATGATATGTGAAAGTTCTTGACCCAAAAGGAGAGAAGATCATTCTAAATCAGGCTGAATTCCTGGCATAGATGCTGCAATAGAGGTTCATGTGGAGATGATACCTGGACCAAGAAGCCTATCCCAGAGCATTAACTGCAGTGGATGATGGCGTTCAGGTGAGAACGTACAAGGATTAAAGGAGCTATTTTGCTAAAAATGCTTTAAGCTATTAGATTCCCATACCAGATTATTTTTCACCACATCTGGTCAGATAACCAAAACAAAATTCTTGCATTTGTCTGAATGCAAGAATCATGGAAGATGTTCCTTTTAGTACCAAATCTTGTTCCAGTTAAAAATGTTTTGTTTGGAAGTAAAAGAAACAAGACTGTTATTATTGGAAGGGTATTATAGACTCTGGGATTCAGTAAAGAACAGGTTTAAAGAGTAGGGTGAGTGAACGTTAAAGATAGGCCTCAAAATTGTTTATGTCTCATCTCTCACCTTCACAGTACCACACCATGCCAAGTTTTACCATTAAATGAGACTTTCGTGGATGTTTGCAGAGGTAAAAGCAGAAAGTCACATTTAAAGAAAGGAATGTAAACAATCGCTCTAAATATGACTATTTTTGTACTCTTAAGAGAAAAGCCCCTAACAATGCCCCCACCTACCATGGATGCTCTTTAGTTCCCAGCCTGCCCTCCTGCCCTCAGGTCCTGTAGAGATTTATTGCTTCTTAAAAGTTTCATTAGGTCATGTGTGGTAAGCACTGTTAGTTGGCTACCTAAGAGCCATCCCTTTCCTCTTCTTCCTCCGTAATGGAGCCCAAGTTTTGGCCAGGTCAGCACTATGCCTAGCAGCAGGGGATGCATCACAGTTGCTCTAAGCCAGTTAGATCCCTTTGTCACATCATTTACTGGCCTCTCTTGCAGTTAGGGTGGTCATGTAGCACAGTTCTGGCCAACGAGTTGTAACTGGAAGTCAGCTGGAGAGGAGAGGGTAGGATAATGGCATGAGGAGCCAGAAGTGGCTCTGTTTCCAAGTTCATGGAGCCATTCTCATGTCTCTAAGTAGAAGTTCATTTTTCCTGGGTACTGGAATCTAAACCAGCCAGATACAAAGTCATGAGGTTGAGAAGCAAAAATTCTGAAGGCAGATTATTCAGCATACCAGTGAGATATGCCATTACCCACCTCAACTCTATTTTCCAGACCTCTTATACTCTGGCCATGAGAAAAACTGCACCATTTAGTGGTTTCTAGTTCAGTGTATGCTCCAGATCTTCACAAGAATGTTGTATCCCAACCAGCAACACAGCAGAATCTTCAACAGGCCATTTTATCATTGGCCAGATGAATAGCTGCATACAGCATGTTGGAAGAGGTATGGAATTGTTTTAGCAAATAGATCACATCTGGAGCCATAGCAGCAATTGAAATAACCATATGATTATGCTTTCAGTAATCCACAGTCATTTAATGTCCACGGTCTAGGTTTCTACTGCTGCATAACAAACCATCCCCAAACTTAATGACATTAAGCAGCCATTTCATTGTGCTGACAGGTTCTTCAGATTAGAAATCAAGACAGGACACAATGAGAATGGTTTCTCTTTGCTCTATAATATCTGAGGTCTTGGCTAAGATGACTTGATGGATAGGGGTGACAGGATAGCCGGAGGCTATAATCTTCTGGAAGCTTCTTCACTAACTTGCCTGTTGCCTATACTAGCATGGCTGGAAGGCCGGTTCCACTGGAACTACAGCACCTACTACACAGAGCCTGTCTTTATGTCATGGCAGCCTTAGACTAGCTGGACTCTGTACTTGGTGGCTCAGAGCCT